CGAAAGTCGCTGGGAAATAGAAACGTTTCTAAATATTTTTGTCGTCGAGGTTGTCGCCGGTCGTCGTCGCGTCAGTGTGCAATGGCTCATAGGAAACAATAGTTTCTAATTTTCTGAAAAGTCGTTTGTCGTTACGGTCGGTCGTTGTCGCTGCAGTGTGGCTTGGCCTTAAGAGTGTAGTATATTTTACAGGCCACTAGCCCTGCTGGCTAGTGAACATTTTAGGTTAGTTTCTAGCCCGACCATGCTGTGCGACGGATTGTCTATACATTCCGTCCTAGCCCGTACAGGTATTCTAACCCTAGCAATACCGTTTCTTGTAGTCCGAGCCGACGCAGACCCCAGTAATGGTACGATAAACCCGCACCCTCAGATTAGCAAAGCGGAGTTTACCGGGTACGTCTGCATTTGCGGACTAGGCCCCTACGTTTCTTGGAGCTAGTTAGTTTCAAGCACCGACTAGTATTACTATTAGTGAGGTGATATGCATTACTGCGTATACAGTAGTCGGGAATTATGCGTTCATGAACAAACACAATCTCACCATTTTTGCAAAATGTCTAACTCGTTGTCCTCCAACAAACGAACGAACTGAAATACCGGTACGTTGAAAACCTATCGACCGTATCAACATGCTTTGGTTTGCGCCGATGGCACAGCTGGAAATAACTAGTGAGGATACCCTAACCTCTGATTTTTCAAACTCGGATAGATGGCGCTTATTGCGAGGGTTACTGCAAAAATGTACAATCTACCAACCTCATAACCATAGATGTCTATAATATAATTTTTATATATATTATTTTAAACTTAATTGCTATCACTGACGGCGAGGAGCTTGCAAGCTCATCTTGACATATCTGTTACAAATGTACCGTCTTTAAATGAATAAATAAGTAAATAAATCCGAAATAACGCTCAGATTTATTATTATGATTTAGTACTATTTGGTTGTCAAAAACCTATAGTATCATGCGATTTAAACTACTCCCGGTATGTCACACAGGTATGTCCGAAATATATGCTAATAAGCCGAGTTATATGCTAATAATGTTATTCCGTGCGAAGTAGGCTATGCAGAGGTCTAATCGATAGATATAGATATATATATGGGGGGGGGGGTACTTACTACTCACAGTGAAAATAAACTGCTTTTCACATTTCACAGTGAAAATAATGCTCTTTTCACAGATCACGGGGATAATCCAGTTTACAGCTAAAATTTCAGACACATAAGATAAGGTCCTAGAAGTATACAAGTGTATTTCTTGACTAACAACACTTCTGAAAATCAAAAATATGCTTGCGCAGTAGTCATGCTTATATACATGTGTGTGTGTGTGTGTGTGTGTGTGTGTGTGTGTGTGTGTGTGTGTGTGTGTGTGTGTGTGTGTGTGTGTGTGTGTGTGTGTGTGTGTGT